CAAGCAGGACCTGCCTTTCATGAACCCATGCTGGCTGGGCCTGACCCCCTGGTTGTCCTTCACATGAGCAGTGAGCACACCCAAGATGAACCACTCCATAATCTTCCCCAGCACTGAGGTCATCTGGCTACTGGAGGGCACATGAGATCCAAGCCAGCTACCAGGAAGACAGTGAGATTGGGTGGTTGACTGAGAACCTTATTTGCACACATGCATGTGTGCCTGGGACAGCAGGACACAAGACCATCCAAGGGCTAGCTATCAGCTAGACTGAGTGTGCAAGGCAGTCATAGATCCACAGTGTTCAGTTTTCTATGTGTGTTCATGTGTGCTGGGTTTGGGGGACCTGTGCACCAACTAATGGGGGATCCACAGTACATATATGTGCCTGTGGTGCAGGTGTGCAAAGCAACTGGAAGTACATGGGGTCCAGGGCCAGTTACTGGGGTAGACTAAGTGTTTTAGACCAGTTATGGGGAAATCCAGTGTGCTGGGATGGGGGGCATGCATGTTATCTGTGAGTGACAGGGACTGAGAGGGTCTGCAGGCACTGGCAGCTTGTACTTCCAGGTGCCAACAAATGGGGAGATGGAGGATCCAGGACCAGCTCCTGGACATGGCTAGGCTGTTTACCAGGGGGACTCATACTGTATACATGTATTGTATGCATCTTTCCACTAACATACCTTTATCCTGATCAGTCAGAAGGGGAACAGGACGAGGCTGCTGGTGTTGTCTGTGCCTGTGTGAGTGCTGAATGCTTCTGTCTGTGCTGATCCCTGTGGTCAGCTGTGTTTGTATGTATTTATGTGTATTAGTTTGCACTGGAATTACAGGCTCAGGCTCATTTCTGGTTCAGCCTGTGTACAGGGAGCAGCAGGAGCCTCACCTCTATCAAGCTACCAGCTCTGGTAACCCCTGCCACTTTGTTCTGTGGATCTAGCTAGACATTATTTGGAAGGCAGATATGAGATTGCTCTGCTCATGTTTTGAGCATTACTCAAATTCTCTCTGCGTCACTCCTAGCCAACTGGAAACTACATAATTGTAGTTATTATAGCACCAAGCCTCAGCTAATGCAGTTTCTCCAACAGCAAGGCATTAGTAGCAAGACATTTGCTGCAAGCTTCCAGGCAGCTGTGAGCTACCACACTGAGCTTACGACTGCCTGCAAAATACTATGTGAAATACACCCTGCATTAGCAAGCAAAGTGTGCCAACAAATCTGAAAGTATGCTTATTTTTTGCCCTTTTTTTTTTAAATTGCCAGTTGGAGGACACTATTTTCTCACACACTTTAAACAGCAACCTAGATGAAAGAAGCTCTCTCACTTTCCTCCCTGAATCACACTCCTGCTCTCCCACATCCCACCCATGCGCTTCCCATTCCCTTGTGCAGTGAACACAGGTGGATGTGCAGTGAACGAACCCAGAGGAGTGAGACGGATTAAAACTAAGCTGGCAAAAAGCAAACAAAACATAATTCCTTTCCGTGCAAATCAGTTTCCCCATTAAGTTCACACTTGTGTCTGCATGAAAGAAGGGTTGGTAAAGGTGTGGGGATGAATGGCTGACTTATGACAATGACAGCTGCTGCCTTCAGCAGCGATGTGGGCTTATGCGGGACTAAAGCATACATGACACTACAGTGTGAAGTACTGAAGACTTTCCAATAAGTCAAAGTAGAAAAGGCTGACAAATTTGATGAGTACTGCATCCATGTAAAAAAAAAGAAGCATAAAAGTTTTTGAGTTAAATGCAAAAATGAAATTAAAACCAGAGAAGAATTTGCAAGAGAAGGTGAAAAGTCCACCTCAGTGTACTGACGATGAAACAGATTTTTTCATAAGAGACCAACTTATGAAACAAAGCTGAAAGCAGGACTTCCACATTATGATTTGCCAGGAATAAATCCTCCAGCCCAGAAATGTAACTCAGAAGAAGCAAACCTTACTCTGCCACCCTGGTTATTACTAAAAATTCAAATGAAATGGAAAGCAATGAAAACTAAGCATGCATGTGGAGCTTGTCAGGGGAGTTCCATTAAAATATACTGAATTGCACCTCCCATTGCAAGGTCACAAGCCAAACAATCTCTCTCAAATGAGGAGCGGGCACTACAGACAGGAACATTAGCAATGCAGCATCTAGCTGCAGCATGCAAGAGCCTGTCAGCTCTCAGAAAGTGTGCACTGCACCCCTCAAATGATCCTACCCACAGTGAAATCTTCCAAGAAACAATTACAATGTCACAGCAGAATACTCTTCAACTATGAATTCGCATCCAAATAAAATATCTATTGATCCAGAGTAGGACATGGAGTGTAGTGAGATCACGTTATTTTTTCAACAGCCTGTTTATAACTTGCAAAATAAATAAAACATGGAAGATATTTTGATGGCTGCAAACACGTATTTGGCAAAAAATCATGAAAAGCAATCCAAAATTAGATTTTGTATACATGAATCTAAGAAAAGTAAAAAAAAAAAAAGAAAGGGGAGGGGGGAAGGGGAAAAATTCCAACTACCCTGTCTCAGCTAAAACATAGATTACCATAGCTACTCATAAGGATGAGACCCCGCCAAAAAGGAATTAAATGTTTCCACTTCACAAATGCCCACATATTCACACAGAACAGGATATTCCTAGGCCTGTTTTCAATTTAAGAGTAGCGGGAATATTCTCAACACCTCCTAGGATTTTTACCTAAGACACCTGAGATACTACAAAAAAGTATCTTCAAAGGGCTATACAAAATCTCCTTCAGCAATTCAAAACAGAAACCTGAGAGAAAGGTCAGAAATATCCTAGGTTAGCCTCAAATGAATAGTGACACTGAAGCAGTTGCTAAAGCTTACCCCATTTGTCACAAATACAGATGAACTGAAGGAAAAGAGTCTAAATCATGATGCAAGCAAAAATTAATCCCTGAAGCAAATCTGTTCTACTTTGTTTCATTAAGTTGGCAATACATATCTTACGCAATAGTCTAAAATTATTATTTTCACTTCTTTGTTAAGCATCTTTGGTAAAAGACCCAATGGTTAAGTAACTAATTATGCAACTCCCAAGTTGTTTTGCTCAACTCAATGCAAAGAAAATAAAAGCAGCTTCCAGTGAAGTAAAAAAGCATCAGAACAATGAGGTAACCACAGTAGCATACAACACTTTATGTTTAGCCACTAAATTTCAGAAATTTTTGTGTCTCTGGTTGATACTTAGTTCAAGAAAAGAATACTAGAACAAGAAAAGCCATGTCCAAGTCCCTGGAAAATTTCCCCAAGAAATTAAGAGGCCTCTGCAGAAAAATAGGTTAAGTTAATCCGCCAAATGGCACAGGGCCCTGAGAATATCCCTCACAGTGGTGTCCATAGTTCCATACTATTAGGACTGTCATTTCAGATAGGCACAAATAAAGGGGAAAAAGTCAAACAGCAAAAGCGATTGAGATAAAAAGATTCATCTTGCTTACAACAGAGACACGGTTGTCTCTTGAAGGCTGCAGCGATAATTCCCGGTGGAGTCAAAATTCAACAATCCTGACCCTGAACCTCATGACTAACTCCTTGTCAGCAAGTTTAATTTCTCAATATTTTTAACAGAGTGTTGTTTAATACTGGCTTAATTTTCTGTTAAGTTCTGCCTTCAGAATTCATTTGTGATACATTTATGGACTGAACTACCCAGAGAGAAATTTTAACTCAGTGTTATGAAGCTCTTCTTGCTCTCATGCCTTTTACACCAGGCAATGGATAAGAAGAAAATTATCCTGAGAACGAGGAACTGTAGGATACTGCTTACCCTGAATGCCCTCAGCAAAATGCAAAAAGGCGTGCTCCTTTCTTCACTAGCTTTCAATCATACTCCACAAAAGCAATTGACCCATATCCAGGGACACGGTGAAGATCTCCCTGCCCTCCTCCTCCCTGGGGAGGGACTGCCTGCTGGTGGACAAGCGCTCCTGGAATGGGTTGAGAATTCAAAGCCTCATAGCTGACCTGAAATAATGTGTTCACCTGGAGGGCTACCATGCAAAATGTAGTTCACCTAAAACCATAACCCAGCAGGTGCATCCCAACAAAGGACAAGACCCTGTTCAGTTAGGTACCAAGCTAAGCAGAGGATGCAGATCCAAAGACTAGATGCCCTGGCGACACAAGACCTGCAGCTTCAGGGCCTCATTTCACAAGTTCTAAATTATAAACTACTAGCTGGTGGTGTTCATTTTTAGTTATAAAGCCAAATCACTTCTGTTTACATGGCTCATGTCCTAAGCAACTCAGAAACTGCCTGGTTCCTTGTGCGTTACCATGGCACTGTAGATTAGCTGAGGTGAGTCTCTATGAGAGGAGGCTGGAGAAAGTGCATTTCAGCAAAGACATCTGGCTCCGCAAACCATTTCATAAACCTTCAGTTAGATGATTTTCATTTTGATTCTACCGTAAACCTTGCCTATTTGCCACACAGACCTTTTCTCAGGGAAAGATTCCGGCATGGCTGGAAGTCCTACCACGTCCTTTTTCACAAGACTGATTGTTGTTCAGGACTTCAGTTTTGAAGTCAAAATGTTCTTTGTTGCCCTTTTATTATCATAATGGTTTGACCTCCTCTTTCTTACTTTTATTTCTATATAAGAGCTTTTTAAGAAACACTCATTTATTCATCTGGCATATCACTTATTCATATATTCACATATTCATATAACACACTTCGCCTCTAACAGAGGACTAATCCTAGGGGTTGTTTCCAATAAAAGAGTATTCCTCTTGAACTAGTTTCAACTGGAACACAATCAATCACTCGTGAATGATAAAATACAGTGATATAAGCATGAATGATAAAGACATTTTTCCATATAACATACCCATGAATCACAAGCAATACATATCTAATGCACTGTAACATTTATTTATGTTTAGAGAGTGAATTCAGATTTTCAAATTATTACCAATCTATTTACAATAAAATGGAGCTGAGGATTAAAAATCAGGTTTCTTACCTAGCTTGGTGAATAGCTTTTACCCATTCGTCTCCATCAACTTCATCCTCACAACGGAGCTCCAGTGGCTTCTGCCCTTCATGGCCAAAAAGAACAGTAAAGTAATGCTGCAAATTCGAACAAGAAAAAAAAATTTAAATACTGAGAACTCTTTTAAATAAAATAAATATATAAAATTAAAAAAAAAAAATCTGGCTTTTTAAATACAGCCCAAAGCATTGCCAGCCTAGGAATATGTGTTTTAAGCTATTAGTCATGAAACACAGATTGAAGTTGAAACTATATCCTTAACATATTCCCCTGTGTATCAAGGCAATAGCTTTCATGATACTTATCATACGTTATTGCTCTTAAGCTCCCACAGACAAGACAACAGAATATAATTCCCTAAGCAGCTTCTACAGTCGGAACACAATAGTGTGACTGCAGTGGGGTGTCTGTAATTCTTTTTCCCTTGCATTTTTTCACCTAAAATTTTTCTTAGATGCCAGCACAGGATACCAAAGCTGGAACTGCCACCACTTCCTCACAAGGATGCAGATTGTACAGTGGCTCTAGATTATTTCCTCCCCTTTCCAAAAGAACAAGGAAAGTATCCCTTCTGATTCATCACAACCCCAAAATATTTCTGCCCTTCTTTCAAGAAGCCTCACCCATAACTGTCATTGGAACAACTTTTTGTTTTCACAAGAAAATGCTATTCATACAAGAAGCGTCATATTCTTCAATGCTATTTTCTACATGAAGGACATTTTGCAAGATATGTTGCACAGAACACAGAATTTCAGGAAAGTTTTTGCTACTTTCAGAATGTAGCAATAATAGCAATATCTAGTGTGGAGGAGAGAACTCCCAGTTGTCTACCTTATAATCCATTTCGCAAGGTTGGTCATTTACAACCTTATTTTGCATAGTTTGCATACTAACTTACGGCCAGGTAGCAAACTGAATTCTTCCCATTTAGAGGAAAATGGGTGAGAACACATTCTATTGAAACACACAGCTGTAATTTCCATAGCTGCCTTAAACGCACCTATTAGTAAGCCAGCACTTTGACAGGCAGAGGGCCCAGTGAGCGACCTGCCCATACATAAAACTGTAATAGACTAGAAAATGATTCGTGTCGAGTGCACATATTGTGCAACTGTGGAAACTAGCATAATGTGAAATAACAAAACTACATAAGGCATGGAACTATAGACAGGATATCTGTGGGTTTGAGATTGGGCTAATATAGAAGTCCAGTGCGGTTTGAGACTGGGCTAACTTTATTGCTTATGCAAGATGAGCGGGCAGCAGCGGGGAGGCTGCAGCAAGGCGCCAAAAAAGGACATTTAGAGGGCACCGAGGAAGAAGAGACTCTTCATCCTGAAGACCACCAGAGGAACTATAAAGATCACCAACATCATAATACGCATGCTTCAATAAATGATGCCACGTAAGCACAGAGAACCAAAAGAAGGAGGAGACTTCACGGAAACGAAGAGCTCGGAGAGAATATAAAGACCGCCGGTGCCATCAGAAGGTGTGCGTGTTGGTGGAGCAGTGACTCCCCGCGCACCCAGCGCTGGTTGCTTGCTTTTTATTACCTTAACTTAATGCAAATAGCGTATTGTCATTTATAACAAAACCATCTGTTTATCAGGTTAGATGTGACACGTGAGCTCTTATAGCTAAAAATCTCTGCACCAGATCATTCAGTTCTCTTCATTACCTAGAACTTCTCAACCTCTCTTCCACCTTCATCCCAGTTAACAGGGAACTGAGTATAACCACAAGTGGCAGCAATTACTTTGTGGGGTCTAACAGCAAATTCCAAACTCGCTCCAGTCACCAAGCAAGGTATATAATTTGCGTTCTCCCATGCTATTAGCCATTGTTTACAGCAGTAAGAAACTTAAAGTGATGCCAACAAACATTCTGCTTTCCTTGTCAAACCCACAGCTCAGCTGAAAAAGCCTCTCTGAGCCAAACACCATGCTGGAGATCGAGCAAATACAAAACACCTCAGAATTAAATGCCATTTCCAAGGCAAGAGGAGCACAAGCATAAACAGAAACAGAAGGGATGAAGTTTTACCTACTGAGAATTGGCTACAGATATTGTCAACACTGATAATGAACAAAAAGAGATTATTTCAGCCATTTATTGGCCCCTCCTGAAACATCTGGCAGCCTCCTGTGCACGTACAACATGCAAGTTGGCTGTGCAGTGTGTACAGAGCAGGTTCAACACACCCCAGATGCACTAGATTCACTACGCCGGCTCTAGCACTGCCTGCACACCTGTATTTGCACTGAAGTTTGGGCCTGGGGACCTCACATTTACAAAACCCAGCTGCCTCTGTGCATATGAGTACACTCATATGTCTGGTTTCTTTTTGGGTAACATGAGTACATATGATGGCATTCCATAAAACAATTCTTTTGTGCATTACATTAATTTACCAAACATTGTTATGTATACACAAAACACTTTTCATACAGAAGACCACAAGCACTGCAGGATTAGCAACAGACAAACAAAACAGAAACAAGGCAAAATAAGAAGCAGCATTCACATTTAACAGGCTATACAAACAAAGTCCAGGCTCTGACCCGTTAAGTTGCAGAAATGAAACAACTCCAGAGCACAGACGAGGATCAATAAATCTTTAAAAGGACAATCCTACAAAACTGGTTTTTTTGACTGTGTGTATCACTTCAGCCTGAATGCTATGAATAGAAAGAAACATTTAATCAAGTCCATAGGATTCTGCATAGCAGTGACAGATACAAACTTCTATAACAACACAGTGCACTTCAAAATAACCTACAGGATAGTAAAAAAGTGCAGCAAGATTACACACTGATGTGCTCTGTTTACAGACTGGAATAGTCTATTTTTAAAAGTGTATTTAAAGATAAATCACACTGTTCAGAGCTGCATTTTATTTGTATTTCATAAAGCTGCTACATACTAAAATTAGAATAAAGACACAAGTGTAGACAAGCAGTGCATTTAATCCCATTGTGCAGGGATTCACATTAAAGGGAGAGACAATACTACAGTTCTCCCTACTTTTTCCTTTAAAATGAGGTAATTCAGACCTCTTTTGAGCAAGACTTGCAGTGATACCATGTCATAGAAATTAGACGTGTGCAGTTACTATGGTGATAGCCATGATCTAAACGCTTAGACCAAGAAAATGCACAAATTCAAACAAACTTAGAGGGCTACTACAGTAGGACTGGACCCAATGGCCGCAAAAACTCGATTATAAAAGGCTTTTGTTTTCAGAAGCTACTTCAAAAACCATCTACATCCTCCACCCCCCTCAAACATGCATATTGCTATCAAGCAACAGTATCAACTATGACATCATTTACCCAGAAGCAGTCAACTCCAGAGCAAGAAAAGTGCAAGCAAAATATAACCCGTCTCTAAAAAGAATCTCTAAATCATCCTTGAATTCTCTTTTTAAAATAAATGTTGCTTATTTACAAAACTAATTTGCTACAAGAAAATAAGATGGTATCTGTGATGCATTATTAGATTTTTAAGCTGATGATGTATGTTAGTGGGACTATATACATATATTTTTATACGGACGTATATAATTTTAGCCCTGCCATTCAATCTGCTAAACAGCTCAGCTTCCACATCACTGTAGTACAGTACAGGTAAAAATCACCTTTCTGCATACAGTTTCTTGAAGCAATGACAGCAAATATTTAAGAACTATAGGACACATGTACATCAACTACCCTCATCATCATTTATCGTGTCTGTTGGACTAGAAGGCAGGCACTCATGTTTCAAGTTAAGGCCATAGTTCAGTTGGACAATGTTTTTACTATTGTTTATTCTGAAAATTGACAGAAGATAAAATGAACACTCTGTATATTCATAGTAGGCATTCAAGGACACCTTGAAATGAAATTACTGAATTTGATTTATACAGAATCATAGAATCATTAAGGTTGGAAAAGACCTCTAAGATGATCAAGTCCAACTGTCAACCCATCACCACCATGCCTACTAAACCATGTCCTGAAGTGCCACATCTACATGTTTTTTGAACACCTCCAGGGATGAGGACTCCACCACTTCCTTGGGCAGCTTGTTCCAAGCTTTAGTACACTTTCAGTAAAGAAATTTTTCCCAGTGTCCAATCTAAACCCCCCTGATGCAACCTGAGACCATTAACCTGATAACTTATCATTATGTCTGTTTTGTCAGTCGCTGCTTTTCATCCCCCAGTAGCTGTAGTAACCTCATGTGTCTTTTCCATTTGTAAATTAGTTGTCACGCTTGCAACAATTCAGTTACCGACACTGTGAAGGCCCAAGCAGAATAAGCACTCATCTTCTTACCGTGGTGCTGCTACCTGTCAGGCCAAAAAGCTGCCACCCTAGATAATAACGCTGCTTGACACTTCCTACTGCAAGCTCCTGCCTTTAGCTCCTCATAAATTTGGTCAGCTTTCAATGTCTGGATGGCAAAACTCATACGGGAGAAATGAGGCATGTGTCAAGTGATTTTGTTGTCTTATCCTTCCATCACCATGGTACATAAACATTTAAATCAGGTTTCAAATGACTCCAAGGTGACTACCAAATTTTGCTGTATTGTGGCTTGTAAATCATCACAGCATGGCAATAGCTACTTGCCTATGAACTGCTTTTCCCTAAACTTTTCTTACTAAACATACAACAAATTTAATTCTCTCCATAATATACTATAAAAATACCATTTTTAAAGCTTAAATTTGGTGTGACCTTGTTAGATGCTGCTTCCTGATCTTTAAGTGATTCATTGCACAGTCTTGTTATAATCATTCAAGCCAGGACTTCAAGAGTAACTTTAAAAGAAAATTTGAGCCGTCAATACTAGGATGGAGACTACGAATGCAAAACAACTGTGAAAAGTTAGTCTATGTACCAAGATTGCTATCAAAAATTAAGACTCTTAACAGAAGTCTGTCTTCAGTGTGAGGCAGGAGGAAGCTTAATCATTTGCTGCATCTTTAAGGCTTATTTTCACTACCTGATGTTTATCACAGCATGTCAAAAAACTTTTGAGACTAAAAACAGTGGGAGAGGTGATTAATTAGAATTTAAGATGACAAACTAAAAATATTTTCCATTCTTCACTTCAAAAGACATTCCCATTTCAGAATCTGGAAACCTGTAAGCGATCTCAAGCACTGGTAAATTATTGGGCAGAAGAGGACAATCACTGTAGCAACTGAAGACTCCTCAATAATCCTTGAAGCAAAAGAAGCAAACTGCAGTCTAAATCAAAGCAGCTTGTACTACTCCAGCACATGTTAACTCACGAAGTTTTCAGATATGTTCTACTGACAGTATCTCACCTGGCTTCTCAAATACAATACATCACATGAATTCTGCATTTCTTACATCCTGAGGAAAGGGAAGGAAAACAAGGGAATATGTTTGGAAGAAGGCAGCATTCCTGAAAAGCAACAAGTGCAAAAGCATGAGTGTATGGAGGTGAGGGAAATGTCTGGGGCAGAAGACAACAATCCCTCTCCATCACTGGATGAGCAGTATGTTAGTGGGAATTAGAGCATTGTGCCTTGAGCCAAGGGAAGGCAAATGCCAGGGTTGGGTTTTACTGCATCTTGAGACTTGCTGTGCCACTAGCACTGGCAGGAAATCCGTAGCCCACTGTTGTTAAATTAGCATGGAAAAGGAATAATGACAGGAGGGTGAAAACCGTGACAATTTTTTAAAAAGTTTCCAGGGAGATCTACAAAGCCAAGACACTTCGTGTTTCTATCACACCAATTAGTAGAAGCTATAATGAGAACAGAATTGGTGGACATCAGCATTTATATGATGTACTTGGGAAGAGTCAGTATGGCTTTTGTA